CTGAGTCTGTACTTTAAAAATACTAGACACACACACACACACACACACACACACACACACACGCACACACGCTGTATCTATATCTTCTCTTGTTTGAATAAAGAAATTCTACGTTGCTATTATCCGTTTTTTAAGATGAAGCACCCGAGGCATTCAGAAGTTGGGGTGAATGAATCACTTTCGTGAAGTACTTTACAGATCTTCAAAAGACTGTACCCTAGCATCCCAAACTACCCCTTATTAACTCATTATGGGTTATTACTTCATTAACTGAGACTATAAAAGTACCCAGGGGATGAGGTGGGATAAATGGATTGGCTGGAATTAGTAAGTATCAGGTAAATACAGTGCAATGGAGGGAATTCAGTACAGGAGAGAAGGGTGAGTGATTAGCTCACACTGACTAGAATTTATATAATTCTAATAATTTACAAAGTGTTTTTATGTACAGAAGGGGAAGAAACAGAGGAAGTGGAGAAGAAAATTCCTGAATGACACTAGGTAAGGCGGCTTCACTAACACACAATTTTTAGACTTCGAAATTGCCTTATTTTAAAGAACACTGAGATATATAAAAAACATGGAGACCATAGAAATCCTTAGGATGTTACTTAGCTATCTCTTTAGTTATCATTATCTTTTTAATTGCTGGAATGTGTACTCGCCAGAGAAAGACAGAGACGGAGAAATCACCTCACAAGGGAGCAGGGTCACACTGGAATCCCTTCTTCTCCAACAGAGATTCTGTCAGGATTTGGGGCATAATCTCACACATAGTCAGCCAGCTCCGTTAACTATTAGGCTACAGGGCCAGGCTCCTCTTAGTGATTTTGAAATGTTAAATAGGTGGATCAAAATCTGCCTTAAAGTTTTGTGAACTTTGACACCACTATCTCTGTTAATAATATACAATTTTTTATTCAGATCACTCTAAATCCTGGCACATACAGTAGTGTCAGGGATTGGGTTTCCAAGAATTTCCACTCACTGTTTCGCCAGGGTTCTCCAGTCCCGTGGAGATGGTAAATGCAGCTATCCCAACAGAATTGTAGCACGAGAGTGAGAATGGCCAGAGTCCCTCCAATGCCTGGAGCTGACCAAGAAGAAATTCATTTTTCTGAGCACATTTCTCTGAAGCAGGCTCTGAATCAATAAACTACATGAAGAAGCAGGGCAGTGTGTCTATTCAGAAGACCCAGGCAGCCTTCGCTCTGTGACAGCTTGTCTTCCCAAACCACGGACTGGAACGTGGCCACAATCCCATAGGGTGCTGTCCCCCAGATGTGAGGTAAAATGTTTCTCTGAATGAAACTTTCCAGGAAGGAAAGTGTGAAAGTCTGCAAGCCAAAACACCCCCACCCCTCCCCCAGCCCAGGAAGCCATTATGTACCATTTTATTGCAATTTCTCTTTGCTTTGTTTTTCCCAATGATGAATTTAGCTATAGCATGTAGGGAGAAACCCTATTCAAGAGCGTGTGGTCATTATCCACACACAAAAGGCCATTTAGAGAAGGATCAGCTCTGTTGGTTCAAACTGTGACTGCCGGAGTCCAGATCCATTAGAAAAAAGGTTAGCTGTTTAAGTGGGAGTGTGAAACATGATGTAATAATTAGGGCTAACTGGGCACCCTCCCCCTGCCGAGAAAGCTGCCTGGCATCATCAACGAATTCCCTGAAAGTTCTAAGCTCAGGAGAAAGCAAGTCATCAACTCTAAATGACAGTTCAGTTGTTAACCTTTACCCTAGAGGCTGGGTTTTCTTTCTTTCTTTCTGGTGTGTTTTGTATAAATGTCATTTTTATGGAATCTGGCTGTTCCTGTTCTAGTTTGCCACAGTCAACATGTTTCCAGTCACTGTGGTGTGTGTGCTTGTCAAAAAGTAACAACCAAAAAAGCAACAAACATGAAGAAATGCATATCCTAAAATGAACAGTGGCTACCTTTAGTAATGAAGCAAGGCAGAATTAGGAATTCATTTTTCTTTCCACCACTGTACCTTTTTATTGCTCTTTAATTAACATGTAATGTAAAATGGAGAATAAAAGACACATAACATATCTGAGATAATTTTTTGACGATGTTTCCTTTACAGGAGGAAAATTCATGAATACTCATGAGGAGAAAGGCGGTCTAAGCCGCAGAGAAGTGACCGTGTCATGAGTATGTGAGAACTGACACGAATGTTTGCCAGCTGTTCAGTGGCATCTAGGTAATAGTAATTTTAGACTAACAGCTACTTTGTAGTTGTTGGTGGTAAATTCTCAACAGTTAGCATGTCCAGAGATCCGCTGTTCTGGAAAATAAAACAGTGTTAGGATGAGCACATGTTAGTGACTTAAGGATATTTTCTGATGGAATAATCTAGCTAATAGCTAGAATAGCTCTCTAAGAGAGTAATCATGTACACAGGGCAGAAATAACTGATATAAATAAGATAAGGCCTAACATGCTATTAAAAAATTCAAAGCCTAATGATCCAAAAAGCATTCTGGGATCTTGCAGAACCTTGACTAATCATTCTGAATATCAATAATGAATGTAACACAGAAGGGCCAAAGCACAAACCCATAAAGAGTTCCTTTTGCTCTATTATATGACAAATCTGTTTTTCATGTGCTATTTCAAAAATGACTTGAAGACAAAAGGGAGATAGAAATGAACTGCTTGGGAAAGAGAGTTTGGGCATTTCACTTACACCTTTATAGACTTTCATTAACACTTGCCTTTGTCATAATTACTCTCATAACAAAACATTTACTGAGTGCAGGACATTCAACATTCAATCCGAACAGCATAATTCTTGTGTTCAAATTTCTTAATAAAATATTTTATAAAGTATATATGATAAAGGCATCTTCTTTAAATCACATGGGATTTCTTTTATATATTTTTTCTTTTATATTTTTTGCATCATAAAATTTTGTCTAGGAAGAGAAAGGACCAAAGGAGAAACTTTAAATCTATAATAGTTATTTGGTTTGTGGGGAAAAACGTAGATGTGACTGAAGAGGTACAGGCCAATCAAAGGGCTGAGATGAAAAGTATGCTAATTTTTCACTCATCAGATATGTTTGAATGCCTACCATGTGCCAGGCACTGCTGTAGGCACTGAGTTTACATCGATTTTATGAGGTAACAGAGAATAAACAATCTGTATCATAAATACATAAATGATGTTAGAGAATAATAAAAATGATCAAAAAATAGAGCAACGCATGAGGGGCTGGGAGAGAAGGTTGCTTGTAAAGCTTTAAAGTGTGGTGAGAAATGACTTCATCGAGACTTTTGAGCAAAATCTTGAAGGAGGTGAAAAATTTAGTCACTACATTATGGGAGAAGAAAGCATCTCAGGCTATAAATAGAAGTAATAGAAAGGGGAAACTATTCCCTGAAGAAAATAAAAAGAGGAGAAACAGAGAGAAGAAAGTGATATCTATTTGAAGCAAGAAAGCAGATAGGAAACTCCTAACATAATACAACTTTGAAATGTAAGGCTCTGGAAGGAATCATAAAAAATAATCTCTTCGGGGCTGGTAGGTGCATGGTGGCTAAGGTGCTGGACTCCACATGGATGACTGTGGTTCGAGTCCCAGACATGGTGACTTGCTTTCTCACTTTCCCTCTCTCTAGCTCTCTGGGCAAATTAAAATAATAATAAAAACAATAGACTGGATATTCACCTGCATAAAGATGAATCTGGACCCTCACCTCTCACCGTTAACAAAAAATCAACTCAAAGTGGATCAAAGATCTAAACCAAAGACTTCAAACTATAAACTACTACTGGAAAACACTGGGGAAACTCTTGAAAACATCAGAGGAGGCAAAGACTTCTTAAATAAGACCCTCAAAACACAAAAGATAATCCCAAAAATAGACTAGTGGAATTACATCAGATTAAGAAGTTTCTGCACAGCAAAAGACATAGTAATTAGTTTGAATCAACAATCCTTGGGATGGGAAAATGTTTTTATGAACTGTGCCTCAGATAAGAGTTTAATAACTAGAATATACAGGGTACTCAAGCAGCTTACCTGCAAAGAAATGATCACCTCAATTAAAAAATGGGAAGATGAGCTGAACAAACAACTCTCTAAGAAAAGACTACAAACAGTCAAAAAGCATATGAAAAAATGCTTAGCATATCTCATCATAAGAGAGATGCAAATCAAAACCACAATGAGATATCACCAAACCCCAGTCAGAATGGCTAAGATTAAAGAAAAACAAAAATGGTAAGTGCTGGTGAGGCTGTGGTGAAAGGAGAACTCTCTTACACTGCTGGTGGAAATGTGAATTAGTCCAGCCACTATGAAGAACAATGTGGAGGTTCCTCAAAGATCTGCATATAAAACTACCACATGATCCAGCAATTCTACTGCTCGGTATCTACCCAAAAGAGAGGAAAATGCTCATTCAGAAATGTGCTTGCACATCTATGTTTATTGCAGCATTATTTACAATTGCTAAGACATGGAACCAATCCAAATGTCCAAGAACAGATGAAGGGATTGAAAAAGCATGGTGTGTATACTCAATGGAATAGGACTCAGCCATAAAAAATAAGACCCTGGCATTTGATAGAAAGTGGACAAATATAGAAGATTTACTGCTGAGTGAAGTAAGCCAGGCTATGAAAGAGAGACATAGTATGTCTCCATTTAATATATACTGACTGTCTGCACTCTATGGACGAAACTGAAAGATTAGTGTATATAGAAGTATGGAAAATGGTTATAAAAATTAGAGACAGTGTGGGAAGAGGGTGATAGAAGTAGGAAAGTGAGAGGAAGGGAATCAAGGAGAAAAAGAGAGGCAAGACATTCATGGGACACAGAAATTTCTGTTGATGATAACATATATGATATCTTCAACTGAACTGGTGTAAAATATAGTCATGTTGAGTAAATTCACTTTGTAGGTAGTAATGATGTACAGTGATTAAATGTATAGAATAAGTAAATACATTAAAAAATAAAAATACCAATAAAGACACTAAAAGTAATAAATAAGATTAAATAATTCCTCAAAAATTTTAAAATAAATAATCTCTTTGGCTAAAATATGATCAGCATATGTGACATGGCCCTATGAAATAAGTGTGATCAACTTGTATACTCTGAAAGACTGACCTATTTTTAGTTAGGGGCTAGCAAACTGAAAGCTTGCATTCTTTTGTCATATGTGTTCTGAATCCTACATGCACCAGACACCGTGTTAGGGACTGTGGTATGGTAGTGAGAAATAAGATGCGATTCCTACATCCATGGCAGAGAAGTACTTTAGGTCAGCGACATATTGGTTATCTAGTCCAACTGCTGTGGAAAATTACATAAAAGTATGAAAGCATATTACAGAGTTCTCTGACCTACTTTGGGAGTCAGGAAAAGCTCCCACTAGGAAGTGATATTTGAGCTGAGATTAGAAGGATGAGTTCGTGTTAACTAGGAAAAGAGAAAAATTCATGTTAGGCAGTGGTGGAGGGCAGCATGGAATATTTGAAGAACAGAAAGGCCAGTGGTTTAAGGAGAGAAAAATGGTTCAACCAGCCAGGGTCCTAGCAGAAGGTCTACTCTAGCAGGGCAATTAGGGATGGCTTAATAAGGAGGCTCTTTAAAATGACATCTGAATGGTAAGAGTATCCCAGGATAAGCAAGCATGAAAAGCTGCTTTTCGGCCTGGTCATCAAAGCAGAAGGTAGGAGTTGTTTATCCGGGAACCCAGTTATGGAAAGAGACCCCTCAGGGTAACTGTAGCCTTCCCTAAAGGGATTAGTCAGTCTGAGGCTACACAGCAGGGAGAGAGCAGGAGCATCCTCACCACCCTGCGATCTCCAGCCAGCTTCTCCTTGCCCTCCTTTCTGCAGTCAAATGCAACTGGAGGTCAGAGAATGAGGGAACCCTTTGATGCAACCTATCCAGGTCAGCTCCCAGGGTACAGAGCAGGATAAAGAAGAGCTGGAAGGGTGGATGAAAAATCCCCTGCACAGTATGAAACTGACCATACCAAATCTTGTTGGCCAGGTGAAGGACTCGGTATTGTTTTGTTTTGTTTTTGTTTTTGTTTTTTTTTTAGAAGTACTAAGCAGCAAGAGAATGAAGTGGTCAGATTCACATTCATGAAGGAAGATCGCTCTCTTGTAATATGAGCAACTTGGAGTCACTCAGCTGGAGGTACGGGGATGGGTCAGGGAGAGAGGATGGTAGCTCTAAGTGGGGGGTGTGGAAGGCAGGGAGGTGCAAGAGTGCTTGTGAGGTAACACATTTGTGTAGTGGAGAAGAGTGAAGTAGAGAAGGGTGTTAGGAAGTCTAGATTTTGGTTTGTGTAAATGGATGAACAATGCTGTCATTTCCTGAAGGATGACCGGGTTTGGAAGTTTAAAAAGATCATAAACTTGACTGTGGACATACTGAGCTTTTGAGAAAACCAACTGTTGAGTGTTAAATCAGCATCTACACATAAGGAGCACCTACACATTAACAGACTACTTTTTATGCACCCCAACAAGGTGGTGTGCTAGGCGTTTTATATAAATATTTTCTCCAACCCTCAAAATACTGAGGCAGACATTATTTTCCCCATTGCATGGATAGAAAAGCTGAGGCTTAGAGAATTTCATTCCTTGCCCACGTACTGACCCCTAGACACTTTAACTCCGGCTAGAGCCCTTTCTCTTTGGGCTGCTGTATCTATAAGCCACACATGAAGAAGTCTGTGCAAGAAATTGAGAGAAAGTGCAATTCCATTATGAGGTCTTTTTTGTTTTTAAAGATTTATTTAATTTTATGTATTGTTATTATTTTAACTTTCTATAGGGTATGCACACTCACCAGAGAGAGAGATAGAGAATGAGAAAGTAAGCTGCCAGGTCCAGGACTTAAACTATGGTTGGCTATGTGGGAGTTCAACGCCCTAACCACTACCACACCACCTGCTGGCTCCAAGGTCTTGTTTCATTTGGGAAAAATAAGAGCTTTGTTTCATTGGATTCTAGAGTAAGCTTATGTGAGTTTCAGTTAATCAACCTATTAGCACTTACTGAGCAATTACTCTCTGCTTATAAATAGTACAAGATGATTATTAGTTCCAGGGCTTACAATTTAGTTGGGGAAGCAAATTCACACAGGAAGCCCCCTTACATGTGATAA